ACAATGGCGCTCTCGCGTCACTTCCGGTTCTGGTCCCAGATGTCACTTTGGGTTGCCGCACAGCAGCCTCACCGGACACATTTCATCACTTCATCAAAGGGGAACGCTTTTTCTTGTACATGTGATTCCTGTTTGGGGAAACAAATAGAAGATTATCACGTTGGAATGAATTTATGGACTTTCATTAATTAGTCACTTATTCATTTGTTTATTAACAGCTCCACTTAGAGTTCATTTGTTGTCTATATAATCAATTTTTGTTGTTTTGTTAGGATACACTAATATAATATTTGCTGTTAAACTGTGCTTAGGACATCATCATTTTAATGTGAAGTTAACATTCTCCTACAAAATAAAATACTCTTGCAAATGTCTAATTAAGACTTATAATTACCTTCAGCCATGTCCCTGTGCTTATTAATGGAAAGTGCTTGAGGATTTTGGTTGGCATGGAAGACATTGCAGTGATGCGCTGTAATGGTTTGTTATTATTCTTTTAAATTCCCTAACACATACTGAAAGCAAAAAACGTTATTTTATTCCTTTACCAACTGACTTTAGGTGGAAGTGATTATTGCAATATGAGTTTGCAAAATAAGTAGTGACACAACATCAAGAGGAAAGGACAGAGCTCACAATACGATGACCTCACCTACACCATTAATAGAATCATGGCACTGCCCTATTCGCTGTGTCTTCTGCTTTATACACAAGCTCCTCCTACTCCTTCAGCTTTTGTTAACAAAGGCTAAGATTTGGGCAGGTAGCAAATAGTAGGGGAGCGGCTAAGGCAGCCAGCAGGCAGTATCATGGCTCCTAGGGGAAACCTTTAACTGCTTACAAAAATATAAGCAAATATATTTTACCTTTAGTAGTAAAATTAGTTTGCAACCCAGATTGAAGATACAAGCAAAGCTGCTGCCTCTCACGAGAACAGCCAAAAGAATTGTCGATGTCCCACTGCCTAATTTGTATGTGCAATGAAAAACATTAATTACCGACCACCAAATCCAAACTTAAAGGGGATCTACACTGTATGTGAACACCACAAAACAAAAACACTATTTCATTCAATTTTAGTATTCAAAGCAAACTCCCTAATCCATCCATGTCTCCATGGTTTGAAAAACACCTGCTAGCATTTCTGGCCATGCCCATCTTGATTAAGGGCAAATGATTCATGTAGCATTTCCTTCCTGGAATCTATCTGCCCCATAGCTCAGGCATGCAGGCAGGAGGGTGTGCATACCTGAGAAAACCTTCTGCCCTCCTGAAGACTATTGGGATGTATGGCATCATTTGCCTAGGCATAGAAACCAGGAAGTAACTAAAGAAATGGATACAAAAATTTAAGTCAAGTAAATAAAATATACTTTCCTATCTATTTACTAATGCTAGCAGCATAAGGATTAAAAACAGTCAGTGTTGATTGAGAGAGTGAAGTTCCGCTTTAAGAGGTTATGTTATATGGAAGAGCCACTACTAGCATAGTGTAGTTGTAAGGGCTACTAAAAGCAAGGATGACCAGTTCTGTGTAGCTGTAGTTAGGAAACTGGAATCAGACTGAGGAAGATTAAAATAAAGTTAATTATTGCACACAACACCGATCCAACACAAACAGCAAAGCAAAAGTGAAAAATATATGTGACAGTGAAGCAAAACCAAAGCAACAATCTAAACATATACACTTTATACAAATTATGGAAAGCTGACATAAACAGGGCATTACCAGGACTGGAAACAAGGGGTGGAGAGATGGGGTAACGGTCTACAGGGTACAGGGTACTGGACACAAGGGATCAGCAAGCAGGTATCTGTCTAACCAGGCAAAACACTGAAGCACTGATGCAAAGCAAGGAAGGGGTTATGTAACTTCCCAGCAGCCAGCATCAGGTGAAGCCTAAGTACTGGGAGACACCCACTGATGATCACCGGTACTGCGCCCTTCAGCTCTGGGAACTACAGTGCCACCAGCAGGTGATCCAGGTGCTGACAATAGTTTACAATACACTACAAAGGAAGCCATTTATCCCAATTGTTGAGTGATCATCTGATACTTTTTGAAATTCATTGCTAGCAATTTATCTATGTAGCTATGATATATTCCTTTTATACCATGGTATATTTACATCTCTATTGTTAATATTATTATCTTTTATCATTTATCATTTTTATAATATTAGATTTTTTTCTTATATTTATTATATTCATTATATATTTGATATTTTACAATACCAGGCACACCTTTTACAGTTTATACATATGAACTTCATGATTTTATTTGATTAGACTTTTCCCTATTGTTGATTTCTATTTTGGGTTATATCTGTGTATGTGCATCAGGACAGATTTTTATGGTTATATTGTTACATAATTAATCTGGTTGAAAAAAGACACAAGTCCATCCAATTCAACCAACAGAGAAAAATAAATAAAATAAAAACACACACAAATAGAAAATATCCAATACCCACAGTTGATCCAGAGGAAGGCAGAAAAACACAATAAAGCACAATCCAGTTTGCTCTAGCAGAGGAAAAAAATCCTTCCTGATCCCCCAAAAGGCAATCATATACTCCGGGGATCAATTTTAGCTATACATTTTAGTATCCAGTTATATTAAGTTTATTTAGGAAAGAATTGAGGCCTTTCTTACCACTTCAATACCAGGCACTTTTACCCCCTTCCTGCCCAGACCAGTTTTTCAGCTTTCAGCGCTCTCACACTTTGAATGACAATTACGCGGTCATGCAACGCTGTAACCAAATTAAGTTTTTATCAATTTGTTCACACAATTAGAGCTTTCTTTTGGTGGTATTTAATCACCACTAGGGTTTTTATTTTTTGCTAAGTTAACAAAAAAAAAATGAACATTTTAAAAAAAAAGTTTCTTTGTTTCTGTTATGAAATTTTGCAAATAAATAATTGTTCTTCATAAATTTAGGCCAAGATGTATTCTACTACATTTCTTTGGTGAAAATAACCCAAATAAGTATTTATTATTTAGTCTGTAGGAAAGCTATAGAGGTCACAAACTATGGGATATATCTGAAAATTGATAAATTTTGAACTACTGATGGCCAATCTAATTTCTTGAGGCCCAAAAATGTCATGACAGTACAGATATCCCACAAATGACCTCTTTTTGCAAAGCAGGCATGCCAAGTTTTTTTAAGATGTTTTTGTCACAATGTTTTGAAGAATGAAGAACTTAAAAAAAGTTCTGCACCAATTTTTTTTTTTTTTACATACTGTCACTATTGTCATATGACGCCCACCTGGACCGACGAGAGTCCCGCTCGGCTGTCATTCTGTTATTGGCCAGTTGGGAACAGGTTAAAGTAATCTACTAAGTTGGCCAAAACCACCTCTTGAGGGAGTCTCTGCCACATTTTCACAGCTCTTACTGTGAAGAAGCCTTTCCATATTTGGAGATTAAATCTCTTTTCCTCCAGACCTTAAAGTGAATAACTCTTCACCAAGTTCACCGTATGGACCACTTTTGTATTTATACATGTTAATCATATCCCCCCTTATTCTCCTCTTCCAAAGAGAGAATAAAATCAGTTCAGCCAATCTTCCCTCATACAGTTGTGTTCAAAATAATAGCAGTCAGACATCACTAACCTGATCAATCACTGTTTTTGGTAGAAATGATATTTCTTCATGGCAAATAATTTACTAGCAGGTATAGTAGAGTAATAGAAATCCAACAGACCCAACAGGCATGACATGCATGCTGCTGATTCTGTGTAATTGAATCACTAATTGAAAGGGGCATGTTCAAAATAATAGCAGTGCGGAGTTCTATTAGTGAGGTCATTCATTCTTTGAAAAACAGGTGGCAATTATTGCCCTTATTTAAGGAAGGAAGGCAGCAAATGTTGTACATGCTGGTTACAGTATATTTCTTTCTGAAATTCTGAGGAAAATGGGTCATTCCAGACATTGTTCAGAAGAACAGCGTACCTTGATTAAAAAGTTGATTGGAGAGGGGGAAAACATATAAAGAAGTGCAGAAAATGATAGGCTGCTCAGCTAAAATGATTGCAAATGCTTTAAAATGGCAACCAAAACCTGAAAGACGTGGAAGAAAGCGAAAAACTACCATTCGAATGGATAGAAGAATAGCCAAAATGGCAAGGACTCAGCCAACAATCAGCTCCAGGAAGATCAAAGAAGGTCCAAAGTTACCTGTGAGTACTGTTACAATTAGAAGATGCCTATGTGAAGCCAAGCTATCTGCAAGAAGCCCCCGCAAAGTCCAACTGTTGAAAAAAAGACGTGCTGAAGAGGTTACAATTTGCCAAAGAGCACATTGACTGGCCTAAAGAGAAATGGCACAACATTTTGTGGACTGATGAAAGTAAGATTGTTCTTTTTGGGTCTAGTGGCCGGAGACAGTTTGTCAGAAGACCCCCAAACACTGAATTCAAGCCACAGTACACTGTGAAGACAGTGAAGCATGGTTGCGCAAGCATCATGATATGGGGATGTTTCTCATACTACGGTGTTGGGCCTATTTATCGCATACCAGGGATCATGGATCAGTTTGAATACATCAGAATACTTGAAGAGGTCATACTGCCTTATGCTGAAGAGGAAATGCCCTTGAAATGGGTGTTCCAACAAGACAACGACCCCAAACACACCAGTAAATGTGCAACATCTTGGTTCCAGACCAACAAGATTGACGTTATGGAGTGGCCAGCCCAATCCCCGAATCTTAATCCAATAGAAAACTTGTGGGGTGGCATCAAAAATGCAGTTTCTGAGGCAAAACTAAGAAATAGAGAACTGTGGAATGTAGTCCAATCATCCTGGGCTGGAATACCTGTTCACAGGTGACAGAAGTTGGTTGACTCCATTACAGATGAGCGAATTATTCAAAAATTCGATTCGACTGATTCGGCGAATTCGTGAAAAAATTTCGATTCGAGTCGAATATATTTGCTGCGAATTTAACTTATAAAAGGGTGTTTCTAGGCTTCAGAGAGCCTTTATATTAGTGCAGAACACTGTACCTTTAATTTAAATGCCCTTGGAGTCTGCTGGGGAAGAGAAATAATACTATCAGTCAGTATGACATGCAGATGAGTGCCGTCGATCTTAGAATCACCGCACACTTCACTCATTTGGGCAGTCACGGGGCCAAAACCAGAGTGTGGAGCCACAGTGTGGCGGTGGAGGCAGCAGCAATGGGAGGCCATACAGCACCCTATGACAAAATGGAACCCACCAGCAGTGTGAGGAGACCTGAAAGTGGCACATGGCAGAGTGTGGCGATGGAGACAGCAGCAATGGGAGGCCGTACAGGGACCCATGAGACACTCTGGACCTGGCAGCAGCATGAGGAGGCGGTACGGGGGCCCATGGCAGATTACGGGCCTGGCAGCAGCAATGGGAGGCTGTACAGGGACCCATGACACACTCTGGACCTGGCAGCAGCATGAGGAGGCGGTACAGGGGCCCATGACAGATTACGGGCCTGGCAGCAGCATGAGGAGTCAGTACGGGGGCCCATGACACACTCTGGACCTGGCAGCAGCATGAGGAGGCGGTACAGGGGCGCATGACAGATTACGAGCCTGGCAGCAGCAACTTGGACAGGAGGACGTTCAGCTTCTGCACCGTCGGGTGCGTGCTCGCAAACTGTTGTCTCTTGGAAACGGATTCCAAGAAAGACTGCTGACGGAATCCGTGAAGAGGAGTAGCAGGAGGAGCATCTGAACGAGCGGAATATGCCAACAAGCGACAACAGGGGCCCATGACAGATTACGGGCCTGGCAGCAGCATGAGGAGTCGGTACGGGGGCCCATGGCAGATTACGGGCCTGGCAGCAGCAATGGGAGGCCATACAGCACCCTATGACAAAATGGAAACCCACCAGCAGTGTGAGGAGACCTGAAAGTGGCACATGGCAGAGTGTGGCGATGGAGACAGCAGCAATGGGAGGCCGTACAGGGACCCATGAGACACTCTGGACCTGGCAGCAGCATGAGGAGGCGGTACGGGGGCCCATGGCAGATTACGGGCCTGGCAGCAGCAATGGGAGGCCGTACAGGGACCCATGACACCACTCTGGACCTGGCAGCAGCATGAGGAGGCGGTACAGGGGCCCATGACAGATTACGGCCTGGCAGCAGCATGAGGAGTCAGTACGGGGGCCCATGACACACTCTCTGGACCTGGCAGCAGCATGAGGAGGCGGTACAGGGGCGCATGACAGATTACGAGCCTGGCAGCAGCAACTTGGACAGGAGGACGTTCAGCTTCTGCACCGTCGGGTGCGTGCTCGCAAACTGTTGTCTCTTGAAACGGATTCCAAGAAAGACTGCTGACGGAATCCGTGAAGAGGAGTAGCAGGAGGAGCATCTGAACAAGCGGAAATGCCAACAAGCGACAACAGGGGCCCATGACAGATTACGGGCCTGGCCTGGCAGCAGCATGAGGAGTCGGTACGGGGGCCCATGGCAGATTACGGGCCTGGCAGCAGCAATGGGAGGCCATACAGCACCCTATGACAAAATGGAAACCCACCAGCAGTGTGAGGAGACCTGAAAGTGGCACATGGCAGAGTGTGGCGATGGAGACAGCAGCAATGGGAGGCGGTACAGGGACCCATGAGACACTGTGGACCTGGCAGCAGCATGAGGAGGCGGTACAGGGGCCCATGGCAGATTAAGGCCTGGCAGCAGCAATGGGAGGCCCGTAATCTGCCAGCACCCTATGACAAAATGGAACCCTGGGCTGGGGCAGGCAGAACCGCCGTATCTTTTATCACGGTTTTCACAGGCCACCGAATGGCGACGCTGCATGCATGAGACTTGACAGCAACGCTGTAGTCCCAACATGGGCCCCCTGGCCACGCTTGACTTTCTGGCCACGTAGTCGACATACGGCTACGTTTACTTCCTCGGGGGCTTGACGAAAAATTGCTACACACCGCCGAGTAGGAAACTTTGCCCCCGCTACTCCTCACTGGCTGACTGCTACTTCCTCTGTGCACACCGGCACCACTACTGGCCGTGGTGGTAGGCTGCAGTGGAGCTGGTGCTCTACTCCGTGGCCGTTTGCCTCCACTGACACTGCTGCGACCCTGCTGCCTCCTGGCAGCAGCAATGGGGAGGAGGAGGCGGTACAGGGGGCCCATGGCAGATTAGGGGCCTGACAGCAGCAATGGGAGGCCCGTAATCTGCCAGCACCCTATGACAAAAATGGAACACACCAGCAGTGTGAGGAGACCTGAAAGTGGCACATGGCAGAGTGTGGCGATGGAGACAGCAGCAATGGGAGGCCGTACAGGGACCCATGAGAGACTCTGGACCTGGCAGCAGCATGAGGAGGCGGTACGGGGGCCCATGGCAGATTACGGGCCTGGCAGCAGCAATGGGAGGCCCGTAATCTGCCAGCACCCTATGACAAAAAATGGAACACACCAGCAGTGTGTGAGGAGACCTGAAAGTGGCACATGGCAGAGTGTGGCGATGGAGACAGCAGCAATGGGAGGCCGTACAGGGACCCATGAGACACTGTGGACCTGGCAGCAGCATGAGGAGGCGGTACAGGGGCCCATGGCAGATTAGGGGCCTGGCAGCAGCAATGGGAGGCCCGTAATCTGCCAGCACTCTATGACAAAATGGAACACACCAGCAGTGTGAGGAGACCTGAAAGTGGCACATGGCATGACACACTGTGGACCTGGCAGCAGCATGAGGAGGCGGTACAGGGGGCCATGGCAGATTAGGGGCCTGGCAGCAGCTATGGGAGGCCCGTAATCTGCCAGCACCCTATGACAAAAAATGGAACACACCAGCAGTGTGTGAGGAGACCTGAAAGTGGCACATGGCAGAGTGTGGCGATGGAGACAGCAGCAATGGGAGGCCGTACAGGGACCCATGAGAGACTCTATGGACCTGGCAGCAGCATGAGGAGGCGGTACAGGGGCCCATGGCAGATTAGGGGCCTGGCAGCAGCAATGGGAGGCCCGTAATCTGCCAGCACTCTATGACAAAATGGAACACACCAGCAGTGTGAGGAGACCTGAAAGTGGCACATGGCATGACACACTGTGGACCTGGCAGCAGCATGAGGAGGCGGTACAGGGGCCCATGGCAGATTAGGGGCCTGGCAGCAGCTATGGGAGGCCCGTAATCTGCAGCACCCTATGACAAAAAATGGAACACACCAGCAGTGTGTGAGGAGACCTGAAAGTGGCACATGGCAGAGTGTGGCGATGGAGACAGCAGCAATGGGAGGCCGTACAGGGACCCATGAGACACTGTGGACCTGGCAGCAGCATGAGGAGGCGGTACAGGGGCCCATGGCAGATTAGGGGCCTGGCAGCAGCAATGGGAGGGCCCGTAATCTGCCAGCACTCTATGACAAAAAATGGAACACACCAGCAGTGTGAGGAGACCTGAAAGTGGCACATGGCATGACACACTGTGGACCTGGCAGCAGCATGAGGAGGCGGTACAGGGGCCCATGGCAGATTAGGGGCCTGGCAGCAGCTATGGGAGGCCCGTAATCTGCCAGCACCCTATGACAAAAAATGGAACACACCAGCAGTGTGTGAGGAGACCTGAAAGTGGCACATGGCAGAGTGTGGCGATGGAGACAGCAGCAATGGGAGGCCGTACAGGGACCCATGAGAGACTCTGGACCTGGCAGCAGCATGAGGAGGCGGTACAGGGGCCCATGGCAGATTACGGGCCTGGCAGCAGCTATGGGAGGCCCGTAATCTGCCAGCACCCTATGACAAAAAATGGAACACACCAGCAGTGTGAGGAGACCTGAAAGTGGCACATGGCAGAGTGTGGCGATGGAGACAGCAGCAATGGGAGGCCGTACAGGGACCCATGAGACACTGTGGACCTGGCAGCAGCATGAGGAGGCGGTACAGGGGCCCATGGCAGATTAGGGGCCTGGCAGCAGCTATGGGAGGCCCGTAATCTGCCAGCACCCTATGAAAAAAAAATGGAACACACCAGCAGTGTGTGAGGAGACCTGAAAGTGGCACATGGCAGAGTGTGGCGATGGAGACAGCAGCAATGGGAGGCCGTACAGGGACCCATGAGACACTGTGGACCTGGCAGCAGCATGAGGAGGCGGTACAGGGGCCCATGGCAGATTAGGGGCCTGGCAGCAGCAATGGGAGGCCCGTAATCTGCCAGCACCCTATGACAAAAAATGGAAAACACACCAGCAGTGTGAGGAGACCTGAAAGTGGCACATGGCATGGTGGCGATGACACACTGTGGACCTGGCAGCAGCATGAGGCAGCAGGCGGTACAGGGGCCCATGGCAGATTAGGGGCCTGGCAGCAGCTATGGGAGGCCCGTAATCTGCCAGCACCCTATGACAAAAAATGGAACACACCAGCAGTGTGTGAGGAGACCTGAAAGTGGCACATGGCAGAGTGTGGCGATGGAGACAGCAGCAATGGGAGGCCGTACAGGGACCCATGAGACACTCTGGACCTGGCAGCAGCATGAGGAGGCGGTACAGGGGCCCATGGCAGATTAGGGGCCTGGCAGCAGCTATGGGAGGCCCGTAATCTGCCAGCACCCTATGACAAAAAATGGAACACACCAGCAGTGTGTGAGGAGACCTGAAAGTGGCACATGGCAGAGTGTGGCGATGGAGACAGCAGCAATGGGAGGCCGTACAGGGACCCATGAGAGACTCTGGACCTGGCAGCAGCAATGAGGAGGCGGTACAGGGGCCCATGGCAGATTAGGGGCCTGGCAGCAGCAATGGGAGGCCCGTAATCTGCCAGCACCCTATGACAAAAAATGGAACACACCAGCAGTGTGAGGAGACCTGAAAGTGGCCATGAAAGTGGCACATGGCATGGGAGGCCGTACACCCATGTGGACCTGGACCTGGCAGCAGCATGAGGAGGCGGTACAGGGGCCCATGGCAGATTAGGGGCCTGGCAGCAGCTATGGGAGGCCCGTAATCTGCCAGCACCCTATGACAAAAAATGGAACACACCAGCAGTGTGTGAGGAGACCTGAAAGTGGCACATGGCAGAGTGTGGCGATGGAGACAGCAGCAATGGGAGGCCGTACAGGGACCCATGAGAGACTCTGGACCTGGCAGCAGCATGAGGAGGCGGTACACGGGGCCCATGGCAGATTAGGGCCTGGCAGCAGCAGCATGGGAGGCCCGTAATCTGCCAGCACCCTATGACAAAAAATGGAACACACCAGCAGTGTGAGAGGAGACCTGAAAGTGGCACATGGCAGAGTGTGGCGATGGAGACAGCAGCAATGGGAGGCCGTACAGGGACCCATGAGAGACTCTGTGGACCTGGCAGCAGCATGAGGAGGCGGTACAGGGGCCCATGGCAGATTAGGGGCCTGGCAGCAGCAATGGGAGGCCCGTAATCTGCCAGCACCCTATGACAAAAAATGGAACACACCAGCAGTGTGTGAGGAGACCTGAAAGTGGCACATGGCAGAGTGTGGCGATGGAGACAGCAGCAATGGGAGGCCGTACAGGGACCCATGAGAGACTCTGGACCTGGCAGCAGCATGAGGAGGCGGTACAGGGGCCCATGGCAGATTACGGGCCTGGCAGCAGCAATGGGAGGCCCGTAATCTGCCAGCACCCTATGACAAAAAATGGAACACACCAGCAGTGTGTGAGGAGACCTGAAAGTGGCACATGGCAGAGTGTGGCGATGGAGACAGCAGCAATGGGAGGCCGTACAGGGACCCATGAGAGACTCTGGACCTGGCAGCAGCATGAGGAGGCGGTACAGGGGCCCATGGCAGATTAGGGGCCTGGCAGCAGCTATGGGAGGCCCGTAATCTGCCAGCACCCTATGACAAAAAAATGGAACACACCAGCAGTGTGAGGAGACCTGAAAGTGGCACATGGCATGAGTGTGGACGATGGAGACAGCAGCAATGGGGAGGCGGTACAGGGACCCATGGCAGACTCTGGGGCCTGGCAGCAGCATGGGAGGCCCGTAATCTGCCCATGGCAGATTACCCTGGCAGCAGCAAAAGGCCCGTAACACACCCTATGACAAAAAATGGAACACACCAGCAGTGTGTGAGGAGACCTGAAAGTGGCACATGGCAGAGTGTGGCGATGGAGACAGCAGCAATGGGGCCGTACAGGGACCCATGAGAGACTCTGGGACCTGGCAGCAGCATGAGGAGGCGGTACAGGGGCCCATGGCAGATTACGGGCCTGGCAGCAGCAATGG